GTTCTTTTGAATGTAGTGGTTGGTTGTCAAGTTCTGAAATCTGAATTTCAATTGGTTTATCACTTTTCTTAAATTCAGTAACCCTGTGGGATGATGCAATGAAAAAGCCTAACAGAAAGCCACTGTGTTTATAGCTTTCTTACAGAAATTTATAGTGTGAAATTAGACAGTGATACTTGATAGCTCTATATATGAAGATATATAAGTACACATTCCAATGCGTGGTGCTCTTTCTTGCCATTCTTGTGGTTTCATGTTTTGTCCTTGAACAAAATTCTTCTTCTTTCTGGTTAGCATTATCCTCCATGTTCAGCAACTTCATCAGCTTGATCAATTAAATCTTTAAGAATAATCTTAGAGGAGCTGGGAAGGTGGCTTAGTGGTAGAGTGCTTGCCTTGCATGCATGAGGCCCTGGTTTCAATTCCTCAGCACCGCATAAACAGAAAAAGCTGGAAGTGGTGCTGTGGCTCAAGTGGTAGAGCACTAAGCCTTGAGCTGAACTGCTGAGGAACAGAATCAGGCCAGAGTTCAGGCCCTATGACTTAAAAAAAAAAGAAGAAGAAGAATCTTAGTAATGATTTCCTCAAGTGTTACTTTCTATACTTTATTCCCATGAAGACAATGACTAAAACCATTCTCAGGACCCGAACATTCTCAATACATATTGTTAAGTCAATAAAAGACTGGATGCCTTTTGTTCTTATTTATTTTCCCATGTTCCTTTGTCTTATGAATATCAATTCGATTTCTTTTTCTGCATTCTAATTACTTGAATATTTTTTTAAGGTAAGCTTTTTTTTTTTTTTTGGTGGAGAGAAGGGAATGCTCATACTAGGGCTTGACTCAGAATCTTGCTCAGCTTTTTATGCTCAAGGCTGTCTCTGTACCACTTGATCCCAACCTCTTCTTGTGACTTTTTGCTAGATAATTAGAGATAAAAGTCTCATAGACTTTTCTTCTGGGGCTGGCTCAAACTGTGCTTCTCAGACCTCAGACTCCTGAAAAGTTTGGATTATAGCTGTGAGCCCAAGGTAAACTTTTTAGAGTAGGGATTAGTTCTTGTTCACCTCCTTGCCCTTACACTTAGAAAAATATTGGCCCTCTGCTGGTGGTTGATACATAATTGTGGAATAAATGATGAATGATATTTTAAAGATCCCTGGTTTCAGAAATACCTCAGCCAATCACATTGAGCTTTCGTCTTTCTACAGGTCACAGATACTTCAACAACTTCATAAAAGGTTGATCCATGTTAACATTACTGCTTAGTTTCGTTTGGAGGGAAGAAGAAAGAACATTTTGGTAAAGTAGGGTTCTTGTGGAATTTTCTTTGAAGAAAATGAATACCAGATATCTTAGACATATAATGGTTGCATGCCCCCTACATGTATGTGCCCATTTGTTTGCATTTTTTGTCTAAAGATTAGCAAGAGATGAATAGAAAATTCTTATTGAATGAAACAAGAGAGGAATGTGCTTGTGAAAAATGGCAAGTTGAGAAGTGTGTAGCTCTCGTTCTCTGTCTTTGGAATTCTATTTTACTGAGAAGGGTTTCTTAATAATAAAATTACCACGAGAATGACAAAAGCCCTACCTAAAGTTGCCAACATCCCGTTGTGTTGTATGAAGCAGTGATCACTTCAGCCTTTCTCCTCTCAACTTTTTCTGATGTTTACAATATATTTTTAGATTCACATTTGAAACAGCTGTATTTGTGTTAGCTAATTTCTGATAAGTAAAATCACATTTCTGGAAATACCTTTTTTGTGGAGAGAGGGACATAGTTTCCATGTATGCTGCCCCTTTCTTCCTTCACACGGCCTTTTGTTCCTCTTTTAAACCCCTTTAGCCTCTTTGTTTTTCAAGGGAAATTGCAGTTGGGCAGGTTTTTTAATCCATTTCCAGATGATTACCAAAATATTTTGTTGTTATAATGACTTGACACTTAAAGTACCATTTTAAAAAATGAAGGTAAACCTAGACAGATAGCTATATAATTTGAAAGGAATTTCAGTTCATTAATATCCCTAGTAAGGGGAGAGTGAAATGCCAGCATTTTCGTGGTCTCATCCATATTGGACTGGAAAACCTGAAGTGAATCTAGAACTGTAAGTCCATATTAGAAATCATAGGTCTTTTAATGGAGTTGATGTCTTCTGGCTCTAAGAACCAGAGATCTTGGCACCTTCTCACTTAAATTTTTCCACTTGGCCTTGTGCTACTTTTATGCTTCTGTCTGAAAACTTGTCATTTTCTCTGTATTTACCTCCTAGAGGCTTTCATTTTATGCTCCCCTTTCAATGGTACCACCTCAGCAAAGATTTTTGAATGACAGTTGAAGCCAAATTCCAATCTGTGAAACAAATGGAATTCTGTGGGTTGTTCTGTTAATCTACAATCATCAGAGCCATGTTCTTCAAAGAACACTAATTTGTCTGGGAATGCAGAACATTGTAATGAAATATGGGTTCTATAGCAAACCATGGGTGACATCAAGAAAGGTGAGGCAAAACCGGGTGCCGGTGGCTCACGCCTGTAATCTTAGCTACTCAGGAGGCTGAGATGTGAGGATCATGGTTCAAAGCCAGCCCAGGCAGGAATATCCGTGAGACTCCTATCTCCAATAAGCCACAAGAAAACTGGAAGTGGCGCTGTGGCTCAAGTGGTAGAGCCTTCGCCTTGAGCTGAAGAGCTGAGGGACAGCGCCCAGGCCCAGAGTTCAAGCCCCATGATTGCCAAAAAGAAAAAGAGAAAAGAAAGGAGAGGCAAAGGAAAACTTCAAAGTAAATAAGAAAAACTTTGTGTACGCTACTTAGATACAAAGTTCACTGGTTCTTGGGGCCCAAGGCAGAAGCTGGCATCCGATCACTGGTAGAACTGCCATTGCTGGGCAAAATCTTAATGACTAGTCTTAAAGAATGTTAAAGATAAACTTCATTACACAAATCTGTACATACAAAGCAGAGAATGTGTGTAGATTGGGAAATAACTGGGCCTTTAGAAAGTTCTTATCTTCAACAGGTGGGCATGAGTCCTCCCACTTCATAACTTCCCAGCTCTAAGTTTCTCTAAGTCTGAAAAGGATTTCATCATGGAATCATTAACTTTTACCTTCCCTTTCTCTGGTATAAATATTCTATAGATTTGGCACTGTGGCAAGAAACAAGGCTGTCAAGAAGCCTGCTTGATTTATACTTGACCATCATGAAAACCCTCTGTTATCATCAGGTCTTAGTAAAAGACTATAAGTGTCTGGACAAAATGGGAAACCCAGTGCTTTCTAGCTCCAAGGAAGCAAATCTCTCTCATCAGGGAGCTTCTGGGAACTGCTTTCTGCTGCTTCACTGGTAACCTCCAGTATTCAGAAAGCAATTTTATAATTCCAAGAAGTTGGCTAACCTGTCCTCTTCTACTTGGAAGGGAGAAGGGATTCTGAGCATTTGAGTTATTAGCACTATTTCATGGAGGATCTGTATTGGAAGATTCCACAGCACCCCTTGAGTAGTTCAACTCTGGGGAGACAGGGTCGCAAGTTCAGATCCAAGATGAGTATCTGTTTTCAGTTCCATTCATTTTGAGTTAAATTTCTCAGTTTGATTTTTTCCCACATGGTTTGCACTTTAGTTTAAGGCCATAGAACCATCTTTTCTCTTTCAATATTTTGTCCAGTTAAAGTCTCACAAGATAGGAAGCATTCAGAAACATTTAAACTGCAACATACTGATTTCTTTTTGCCTCTGCTAATGGAAATCATGACTTTCCAAGAAACATTTCCACCCCTGCAGTTTGACCTGTGATTTCTAAGTTATTCATATATATATGAAATAATTTCATATGGATAATAATTTCAGATAGATATGTCAGCATCCAGTACCAGCAATGGCTCCTTGACTTTCATAATTTTACTTCATCCCATTGGGTTTCATGTGGGCCTAAAAATGTCTTGTCCTCAAAGTATACTGAGAAATAAACAATAAGATAATATTCATGAAGATCCCTGAAGAGTTAAAGAAAAATATTTATGGAAACCAATGTAAGTTTTAATCCTCTAAATACATATAGTATCCTAGAATTTGTTCATGATATCACAAAATTTATTTCCAAATGCCTCTGGTTGTGGAGTGTGAAACATAACATATCCAAACCAATAACTGATGATTTGGAATTTATCTATATAACGATGTTTGAAATTTCCATGATTTAAAACTCATTGGTTAGTAGTGCTTAATGAAATGTTGGCAAAAGGCATAAATAATGGATAATTTAGTAATTACATCCCAGTAAGGTAAAAAAATTAAATATAAACACTGGATTTAACATTTAATGATGTATTTATTTTCTTTCCATGAAACATTTTTGTCTAGGTGTTAAGTCTTTTTTTTCTTTTTTTAATTGTGAAAATACTGTACAGAGGAATTACAATTACATGGGCAAGATAATGAGCACATTTCTTATCAAGCATTGTAGCCTCCTCCTTTGTTTCCCATTCCTATCCCTTCCCATCCTCCCCCTGCACCCCCCCTCCTCACCCACCTCCTCACGAAAGTTGTAAAGTTCGTTTTCAACATAACAACTTGTACATCTCATAGTTGCAATGGATAGGTGCTAAATCTTCACATACAGTTAGAACATATACAATTGGTGACTTCTTCATCTAATGTTAGCACCATTTTATAAAATCAATAATGAAAAATTTTATGTTTGTTGAGTATTCTATATATATATATATATATTGAGTATTCTATATATATATATATTGAGTATGCTATATATAACTATATAGTCTTTTATAATCCTTTTTATATGATGACTTGTTATACTGAAAAAAATCACAAATGTAAGAAGCTGTTAAGCTGATAACCTACCAAGTATTTGCTGAGAAGTGGAGAAAGAAGGCAACGTTGGTGTTACTGTCTGTTCTCACTAACCTCCATGATTTTTTCATTCTTTACCTTCTTTTTTCCTGATATTTTCCATCTCTCTTCCTTTTTGCCTCTAGGAAGAAGCCTCCCATGGAGGACACTCATTGAAAAACTACATTGAAGAAGTGAGTGTGCAGGGGGCCTTGCAAAATAGTCTGAATCAACCTATCATGTAGGTTGAAACACACATTTGGCATTCCTCCATCCACTGTCAGTTTCCTAATCCATATGTGTTCACCAGTCATGTCCACAAAAGCAAGATCATCAATAATGTCATAATTAAATTATTTTCATTCCTCATTGATAAAGACACATAACATGTTAATCCAGTTGTTCTGAACATGATGGTGAAACTGTAGGAACCCAGTGCTGGTATGTTTTCATTGACATTTATTTATCTCCTAATAAGCAAATATGAAACACATTTTATATTAGGAATGAACACAAAAGGAAAATAAAATAAAGTCATGATCATTGTTCTTTTTGAACAAAAACACTAATACTAGGTCAACATTCATTTTTACTTATGTGACAATGTGTATCAAAGTATTCTTTGGTAAGGTGTTACACCTTAGTGCCTCCCAGTAATTAAAATGGATAGTAGAATTCCCTTGGAAAATCCTTTTACATTGTTGGGTTTATTTATTGAAGGGTGTTCTTAGTCACAGAATTTTGAACTGACTACAAAAAATTGAGAATTCTTAGAAAAATTGGTGGACAGAGCCCCTTAGACTTGGTATTAAGTCAAATCCCAGGGGGTCACAAAATGAGCCCCTAAATCTGCTGCAAGGGAAGAAAACTCTGGAACAATTTGATAGGGTCCTAGCAGTATCAAATATTTGGTTTGAATATTACTCCCTAAAAAAAGTCTGCTTCTCTATGTAGTTATGGATACTGTGAGTCCACTAAAAAAACTTTATATGCCTCCCCAATACACTATGTAGACCATACATTTATTCAGCAGAGTCTCATTTACCTGCAAATAACATTTGAGGAAGAAATTTAGAGTATATTACATCCCTTTGGGTTTGCATGCTTATAAGTTATTGAAGCTTTGTATAAGGCAGATGGAGAATGAGTAAATGAAGGATAGAAAGGAAGTAATTCAATAGAGTTAAGGTTCTATGCCTCAAACTATATGGGACAACCCTAAGTTTCAGGTAATGAATAGGATGAAGAGGGAGAGTAGAATCCATTAACACAGTTAGTATTGCTTCATGGTAGAAAGATATTATTTTCCAGGTATTGACCAGTAGAATCTAGCTTTAGAATTCTATGGTGGCCTAAGCCCTTGGCTTAGCATCTACATCCGTTGGTGGAGCTGAGGTAGTGGTAGGGCAGTTCCTTAAACAGGATGTCTCTGTTTCTTCTAATAGATGAGGAAGGGGATCACAAAAGGGTTATAGGAAACAGCTTGCATACCAATGATAGACATGTTAGAATAGTCCTTATTTTAATAACCAATATACAATTGGCATGTGTTGCTTATAATTGTATGATATGAAAAGATGGTTGATAATTTTTGCCTTCTCTTTGGAGATGCCTGGAGAGTACTGATCCTCAAAATATGGTGCTGGGAGCTTATAAGAAATAAAAGATCTTGGAATTCACCAAAGATCCTAAGAATTGAAAAGATCATCCCAAGAAGATCCTGGGAATCATAAACACTCACACATCCTTTCTCATATTATTTATGGAGACTAATTGTACACATCCTAGAAAATCCCTAGGTTTTTTTTTTTTTTTTTGGTCGGCTGTGGGGCTTGAACTCTGGGCCTGGGCACTGTCCCTCAGCTCTTCAGCTCAAGGCGAGTGCTCTACCACTTGAGTTACAGCGCCACTTCCGGTTTTCTGGTGGTTTATTGGAGATAGGAGTCTCACAGTCTCTCCTGCTCGGGCTGGCTTTGAACCGCGATCCTCAGATCTCAGCCTCCTGAGTAGCTAGGATTACAGGCGTGAGCCACCAGCACCCGGTGAAAATCCCTAGTTTTGTATACTAAAACTTCCCTAATAATTTTGAGTTATTCACTCATCAACTCCCCTCCAATTTTTTTAATTTTTTATTTATATCTCCCGAGCTTATGAAATTCAATAGTGACTTTTGAGTTTCTCAAGTATGTGTGAACTTTTCACTATAAACTTTACCTCTCTTAGTGGTCCAGGACCACAAAGCATTTTCATCTAATATAAATTGTTGCTTAGATTTTGTTTAGATCTTTCATGAACCTATAAATGATTGTTATTTACAGTAAAACTGAACATATGACCTCAAGAAGTAAATTTTTCATGTGTACTGTACTGGTGCTTGAACTAGGCACTATCTTTGAACGTTTTCACTCAAGACTAATATCTTCTAGCTTTTTTCGGGGGAGGGGGACCGGTTGTGGGGCCTGAACTCTGGGCCTGGGCGCTGTCCCTCAGCTCTTCAGCTCAATGCTAGCACTCTACCACTTGAGCCACAGTGCAACTTCTGGCTTTTTTCTTTTTGCTTATGTGGTGCTGAGGAATCGAACCCAGGGCCTCATGTATACAAGGCAAGCACTCTACCACTGAGCCACCTTCCCAGTCCTCTTCTGGCTTTTTAATGGTTAATTTGGTTTAGAGTCTCACAGACCTTCCTGCCCAACATGGATTAGAACTATGATCATGAGATCTCAGCCTCTTGAGTAGTTCAGATTTCAGATGTGATCCACTGGAACCCAGAAAATAAGTGGATTATTAACTTCTTAATAGAACAAAAGTTTCTGTTTGTAAACTTTTATTTATTTAGTCCTCAGGAAATGCATATCAAACACTTTTCTATTGAGAACGCACTCAAGGTTTGAGCTGTAAACTATTATTTTGTTTTTTTCTCATTCATGCTTTTATGTCACTTTTGTTCTTTTTTCATGTGAGTAGAATCAGGCAACAGAGAAAAATATTTGTAAATTCTGGAAGCATTGAAAGCAAAACTGAGCTTGCAAATATCGCAAACATTTGCTTTTATTCCCTGCACACTAAAATTCAAATAAACCATAGTGGTTACATTTTTCCTACATTTAACATTTCTTATTAAACTTTGAACAATTCTTTGCAGATCAAAGCTTCTGTTGTTTTCTCATCTAGTCTTATATAATGAGACAGAATCATAACCACATACTAGGCAACTATGTTTAGACCGAAGTCAAATGAGAGAAGACAGGGAATATAGCTTTCCTTAAGGCTAAAATGTAAATTTTGTTTCATATTGTTTTATTTTTTCATGTATTAGTGTTATAGACTAAAATTTTTATTTTTGACCAAATGAAATGAGATATTTTTAAAGTCTATTCTTTTGATTCTCAGATTAGGTCTGATAAATTAAAAGACAGATAAGTTTTTAAAATTACACATCTTTTATGTACATCTCTGTACATAACTTTTACAATAAGAATTTAAAAACTTTTTAAATTACGTGAAGCACTTCTCTACCCAAGATAAAAATAAACATTTCAAAATACAGAAAACTTATCTTTTTAAAAGCATAATATTAAAGTGCACTCAAGATAGAGAAGTGAAAACCACTGTCAACTTGGAGTATTTCCAACTCTTGATTGTCATATTTTGCATTAAAAAAGCTAATCTATCTAAAATTTCACATTCCCCAGATAAAATAATTGAGAAGACATATATTAGCTAAAAATCTCCTTATTCTAAATAAAATGTGATTTAAATATAAACACATGAAATAATTATTAGATATTAAAAACTTTAAATAAGTAAAGATTGAAGTCAACAATGATAAAACTTTTTCAGAAGCATTGTGAAATTGTCTCTCATGACTTCAGGAAGTGGTGATGAAGGACAGACCTGAACACATGGGAGTGAGAACTCACTCAAGGTGTCATGTGGCAGCTTGACAATCTCTAAGAGTGTCAGACAGAAAAGAAGCACTGGAAGCTGCCTTGAGAATCTGTTGAGCTTGGCTTTGCCAGATGTACCATCTGAGCAGGAAAGAAGATTTATTTTACGTGACAAAACATCTTAGAATCATTTCTTAAAACAATTCTGGATTTCTTATTTCTTCTGTATGTATCCTGAGATATCTACTAGGAAAGAATGAATTTCCAAGTAAATTTTTGACAGAGTGCATGCTATTATTAACTGTTATAAATAAGAGACAATTTTTTTTATAATTCATCATTTACTTTTATTTATATGGTACTCATTTGGGTTGTGTGATATTTTCAGTAGTTTAGCTTCTTTACAAAAGGTATGATAATCAAGATTTGAAAATAATTGAAGTTGATAAGGTATTTTTACTCTTGTATGTTTTTGATTAGGCATTTATAATACTAAAAGAAATACTTGCTGAAAATTGAAACAAGTATAACTTATTAGTACAGTTTTATTCCATTAGGAAATCAGGCAACAGTATTATTGAGAAAAATTCTGCTTGATAGAAAATGTACTCATTACCTTGCTCATGTAACTGTAACCCCTCTGTACATATTTTTTAAATAAAAACTTATTAAAAAGAATAAAGAAATATTACTAAATAATAATCTTAAAAAGTTATAATTTTAACTCTCAAACAAATATAAAATGAACACATATCAAAGACTGATAGAATAAGGGAGCAAATTCTCATATGCATAGTCAAATAAGGAATAGAGAAATAAAGTTATATATAGATACAAAAATTAGCAAAATTTAATCTGAATTCTTAGGATATTAATTTAATTCCAATACATACAATTTGCATTGATATAGATAAGAATCATTTTTATTGCTATCATTTTTAAACACATGTCATAGGGATAAAATAGCTGAAGTCAATGAAAACCTCTGTAGAAAAGATAACTGGGAGTATATGCTAAAAAAATGACTTAACTTTTCTTTCATCCTTTTAAAAATCCTCATGACTTTTTCTTGTCATTTCTGTGGAGAGAAAAGCCACCATAATGACTTGTACATCTCATTGTTGCAATGGGTCCACCTGTATCCCTATTTAAATGATTTGTTTTTCCCCTTCCCCTCCACAAATTATACCAACATCAAATACAGTGAAAGCAGAGGTAATACCGTGAGGGAAGGACATACAAAGCAACAAAAAATCATCTTATAAATATGTTAGAAACAATTCCATGAAAGAGAAGAACATTTG